CATATTTGCAGCAATCTGTGCAAGGACATCTCAAAAAAGTTATCCCACTGGCCAACTTTCGTCAACGAATTGTCGAGTTTGGAAGCTTTGTTGTGCAACCGTGATCGACGTGAAAGGTTTGTGACGGCTTGCATCCCGAAGGGTGCGGACGAACGGAATCTTTTCAGTTCCTTTAGTGGAAGCCTGTATGAAAAACGATGGGGTGCTGTCATCAGTTTTCTCGGCAAGCTGATGCCTCTGCTGGGTGCGTTGACGCAGTATTGGGATGCTCAAAAGTTCGTTGCAGGTTATCAGCAAAGGGAATCTGCGGATGATGAGCAGGCAGGTCAAGGTGCTGCTTCTTTCGTGCCGGCGGCCTTGAGCAAAGCTTTGGAGAGTAGCTTGTTTCATGTGTATGCCAGCATGATTCTGTCCGTATTGAACATTGTTGACGGGCTCACTGCTTGGTTTGAGGGGTGTGCCTGTCATGAGGTATTTTCCGATCCGCACAGCAAAAAGAAGCTGAGCCGTCTTGCTGAGCAAGAGTTCCGAGCTTGTGGCACTCAGCGAACGTGCCCGATGAAGGGAAAGCGTGCTCCCGAGTTGGCAGCCGGATGCTTGGACGAGGTGTTTCTGGACTTGTTGAATATCTCGCGAGACTCCGTCTTGAAGTGCATGCGCATGCACCAGCTCTCCAGCGAGGAAGAGTCGGTGCTTTGGCAAGATTTTGAGTCCAGCCGAAGCTTTCTCCAGATGGGCTTGCAGATTAAATTCGATTTTTGGGGCAAAGTTCCTTGGAAGCTTGCTGCACTGTCGCATCCCGATCAAGACGTGGCTAGGCAAGCCGCGGGAGAGATGTTGCAGCTTTCTGACGGGCTTGATGCTGCTGCTGATTCAGCCTTGCTGCACCACCCGGTCACAGTGGACTTTCTAGGTGCAGCGAGCCAACTTAGACCATTGGTGCAAGCTTTTGCTGATGGCGGGCACATGGCTGCAACATTGCATAAGGAAGCCAGCAAGCTAGCCTTCATTCCAGTTGTTGAAAGAAGCATCGAAGCAAAGCATAGTCTCATTTCGAGGAGGGTGCAGAAGAATTGGAGGTCAGGACGCATCGTCAGCCTCACGTTGCGTGTGCCGGACATCAAAGCAGAAGTTGCTGCCGATGCTGAATTCTTAAATCGCCTGACAGAAGCTTTTGGACTTGTGAGGGATCCCCGAAAAGCGGCTCATCAACTGGGCATCCAGGACCATCCAAGCCTGCTGGATGCAAGCTTTGCCAAGATGCACAGAAACAAAATCGTAGGGCTAGTGAATAAGATCGTGTATCGTAGTGACCTTGAATCAAAGTTTGAAAAGCACAGAAGCGCTCGTGTCGAGCATGAGGCCCAGGCCAAGAAGCGAGCTCGCCTTGCAGAGCGACAGATCCGGGACATAGCAGCACAGGGCGTGCAGCCGCAGCAGCAGCGGCGGCAGGTCGATAATTCTTTCGACAGTGTCTTGAGAGTAGCCATTGCTGATCATTTCCAGGTCGTTTCTGAAGCTACCCCTTCAGCATGCGTTTACAGTTTGAAGATGGTTCCGTCAGAGCAGGGTTCTTTGCCAGTGTTCCGTGGCCTTGAGTCAGTGCTGTCCCGCAACGTCAAAGACAGGTTTCAGCTTCCAGCCCCAAGTCCCACATTGCGTTCAGATGTTGATGATGAAACAGAAATCAATCAGTCAGAGATGACAGATGATGTGGTTCACTTTCAGGTGCTGCACGGCAATCCGAGCCGCCTGCGGACGGTGCCTCTGGCGCCAGCTGCAGGAGAACGTTTGCAGAAGGGTGACATCGCAGTCTCAGTGCATTTGCCTCTGCCGTGTCCGGATGGTGCCACTGGAGTTAGGTTGGAGCCTGTTGTTCAGGGCAAGACTAGTGTTGCTGTGCTTTCGGGTTTGGCTGCAGGTGATTTAAGTTCACTGCAAAGCACATTCACACAGCATAGCCTCGGAGAAGTCATGTACACACTGAAAGATTTTGTGTCTCTGTCCAGTTCATCCTGTGTGCCCGAGATAACTCAACTTGTGCATGCCGGCGCATTTCCGTCTTCTGGAAAGCATTCTGATGTTGCCCTTGTGCGTGGAAGTCTGCCAGGTGCTTGGAAGGAGCTGCTAGATCGAGACCTGGTGACCGTTCGCCAAGGACGCCCGGGTTTCCAGCAACTTGCGTTGTCTGAGGCTGGCGTGAAAGCTTTGGAAGTGGTTACCGCGTTGGCAGAACCCAGGCTTGTTTGTCAACCACGAGGATTGCCTCTGACTGACAGCAGCTCTTATGAGCTTATGAAGCAGCTGGAGCTTGATGGTTGGGCGTGGTCGGTGTTGCCTCAAGGACCAGAGCTGAGAAGGCAACTGTGCTATCGTGCTGGCGACACCAAAACATGGTATTGTCCAGCGGGCGCCTTGCCACACAAGTTGTACCTTGTTGCGTTGCTGGAGTGTGCAAGGCTTGAGCTTGAGATGGTGCCCCACTGGGCTGCTGCCCCGGCCAGATACTACAGCCGCTTGTTAGATGGCAAAAGCGTGCCAGCAGCATTACGGCAGCCTGTCCGTGCTTTGTTGAATGTCGATGTCGATGATGCAGAGGTCAGACTCCATGAAGGGGCATTGCCTGCCTCAGAAGGGGCACCGAGACCGATGAGTGAACATGAGCTGGCCGCGGAGACTTTGTCGGAGCATGGCAGTCAAGACAGCTTGGTCGCCGAACTTGAAGCGTTGATTGAGCAGGTGCCGGACTCGAACAATGAGGCACGGGCATCCTCAAGTGCCGCAGATTCTGCCTTTGAGGGTCTGCCTCCAGATCCGGAGTCACGGCCGGTTGTCCCAGTGCTTGCAGACCCCTCGAACTTGCCTGTTGACGTCCCTGTCCCGCCGGCAGGCCCTCCTGTGCGTGTGCGTGGCAAAACGACAGCGGATGCCCTTCCCGGACAGGTGGAACACTGGGGCGTCTTTCGAATCAGTCGGTTGCAACCTAAACCCCCGTTTAGGCCGTACGGTGCCGTGGAAGCACTGTGCCCGTTTCATAAACGTAACTCAGTTACCGATTGTAAGAAGTATCTAGCACATAAAGATAATTCTGAAGAAGGCAGAGCTCTTGATATTCGGGCCATCAAGCATTGGTGCATTCAGGCTTCGACTGTGCACATGCAGCGACACCACATCAAGTCTAAATTCTTGGACCGCACAACACTTCGGAATCTCAGTGATGCTTTTCTTGAAAGCAAGCGCATCGATCAAGGTCCCGTCGGCCCTGTTGTGCCAGATGACGAGATGGATGCTCAAGCTTCTGCGAGTGCCGCTGTGTCAGAGCCAATAGCACCGAAGGCCAAAGCAAAGGCCAAATCAAAACCTGGAGCGAAGCAAGCTCCCAAAGCAAAAGCTGCGGCTGCAAGAGCCGTAGATGATGTTCCAGATGCTGAGCCGGCGAGGTCCGGCCCAGTGAGTGGTTCCGAAGCTGGTGAGGATAGTTCTGATTCAGAATCGAGATCAAGCCGTGGCACACGTAGCAGTAGCAGTAGCAGTAGCTCGTCAAGTAGCTCATGCAGCAGCTCATGAGATTATGTGTTTGCCGGCAATGCGACTTAAGAAATGTTGCTTGACAAGGGCAGTGCCTGTGTACTGCCATCGCTGTTTGTGTTCAGGTAGCGTGTGACAAGCCCATGAAGCAAGCTATGCCTGTCGTTGCTGTAGACCCCGATCTCGACAAAGTGTCCCACCAGTGATAGTATCGAACACAGAAGATGCTTGTGCTGTGCCTGTCAAGCTGTCCTGTTCAAACACGTGCAAGCGTTTTTGGTAGGTTTATCTCTGACCTTTTGACGAACCAAGCAGGACTCAGCAGGACAGTTGCAGTTTGTGTGTAGCAGACAGAGTTTTGGGCTTGGGCAGGGGTTGGACCGGGCCGGAATGATGCCGTTGATGCTCCTGTGAGGGGTGAAGCCAGACACTAAACCTTGGCCGGGAGGTTCTGGGCACCCGAGAGAGGGTTTTTTGAGGGGCAGGTCGCGGCAGGTCATCCTGGGAGGAGTGGAGGGGTGGGCTGGGGACGGGCACTGTGTGGGGGCTGGTGGCTCGATGGGCTCGATGGCTGCTCGATGGATGCTCGATGCTTGGCTCGATGGGCTCGATGGCTGCTCGATGGCTGCTCGATGGGCTCGATGGGTGCTCGATGGATGCTCGATGGAGCCGTGGCTGTGATTTTGGTAGTGATTATACCAAGGCAATAAGAAGTTTGCCGGGGGGGCCCCGGAGACGCAGTTGCATGCAAATCCTGCAATTTGGATATCTTTCCCACGGTCAGCATGTTTCCAGACTTGTGCGGTGCTGTCTCAAGCCCATTCAAGCCACCTCACATCTGTTATGCCTTGATTTGCAGAAGGACCATATATTTTGCAACATGTGACAATGTTTTCTCTGTTGCACAAACGAAATCCAGCTTCATGGCGTAGCAGCATATTGTTGCAGGATCTGGTTCAAGATTCCAACGTCTCTGGATGATGTCCTTCAGAGATTGCGGTGTGTCGCGCGGTAACAAGAGTTTGGCACCCCTGCAGCCGGGGAAAAGCTTCAAAGATTCTTGTTGATCACATAGATCAAACAGACTGCATTCGAGCAGAGTGCTTGTGACGATGTGATAGTAGCTTCTTTGTATGGCTAGCCGTAGGCTCACATAGCTCTCTTTAAATACTTGTAAGAGCATCACACAGAGGCCCAGAGGACTTCAAAGCACGACCCCTCGAAAGTGTGGTAGGTCTTCGAACGTAGTTGAAGCAATCCCGGCATGTCGTTTGCGCCAGATGTGGATGGGGAAGTGGGGCCAGCGTCCCCAGCTCGCCCACGCAGAAGTCAGCACAGGTGCTGATACAGGGTTGTCCAATGTTGTCATGCCTTGCGCCTTAAAGCGCTGAGTGGATACGTGCAATTTTATGACGCACGTGCGGGCATCATGAAATTGAATGTGAGGGTTTGAGGTTTGGGGCTTGGCTTGGGGCTTGGGGTTTAAGTTCTGCGTTCAGGGTCTAGGGCTTAGGCTGGGGGTGAAGTCCTGCACATGGCTTGGATAGGGGAGTCTCTTTCTTACTTGGAAGTTATTCTGAGTGGGGGTCCTAGAGGGGTCAAAGGAGTCCGACAAGCAAATCAAGAATTGAACAAGTATAGTAGGTAGGCATGGGTCCTCCTGTGGAGTTCGCCTTGCCCTGCCGCCGCAGGTGGCATCCTTGGCTACAGGGCTCGGGGCCTGAAGATGTGGAGTTTCAGCGTGCCGGGCCAAGAACCTTCGAGGACGTGATGCTGTGGGCACGGAACTTCTTGCCAGGTATGCTTGCTGCTATGTCTGCCCAGGGAGCACGTGTTCCAAGAGTGCTGGATAAGTTGCAAAGAACAAAGCTGGTGCTCACATCCAGCTACAGTGGCATGGGCGTAGCAGAAATGTCTGTGCCTTTTCTTCAGGATGCTTTTCAGGAGCGTGGCGTGAAGCTGAGCGTCCGGTACCATGCATCGCGAGATCATGATGAGCTATGTCGCAAGATGTTGTTGCATGCAGAGTTTGGCAGTTCACAAGAATCACATGTTTTTGGTGATATCTTTGATTTTGTGACGACTACATGCTCAACAGAGTTGCTCGATCTGCAGCAGGAATGCCATCAACGTCTCGCGAGGGCTCTGTCAGGTAAGACTGGGCCACAGAAGCGGTCCTTGTCTGTGCAGCATGGACGCAACTTTGCAGTCAAGGCACTGGGGGTTTTGGGAAGCGCCTCTCCTCCTTATCAGCAAGGCCACTGTTTCAGGCACCAGAAGGTCTGCCCCTTCTGGCCCCCCAGCAGCAGTGATGCTTGGCATGTGGAGATAGCTGGGTCGACGTGCACACCATGGTCAAGTTCGGGGAAGCATCTGGGTTGGTTGGACAAGGAGTCAGTCCCGTGTCTTGTGTGGATGCATGCCGTGGCCGGAGTACGTCCTGCCATTGTGATCCATGAATGCACACCGACCTTTGATGTGGAGGTCATGCTACGGTTTTTCCAGGATGATTATGTTGGCTCGTCTCTTGTCTTCGGCCCTCTGGACCTAGGCATACCTTGCAACAGATTGCGCCGCTACACAGTTCTGTTGAGAAAGGACCTTTGCGCCAGCCCAAGTCCGAGAGTTCTACTCTTCTCAGAGGAGACGTTCCTGCAGCTAGTGGGTGCACGGGTCGCATCGTGTGCGGCCATGTTTCTGAGGGCTACCGCAGAGGAGGTGAGAGAACTAGTGCAGCACATGGCAGACCAACGACATGTGGTGCTGCCTCATGATACGAGTGAGAGTGCGATCAATGCGAGTGCATTGCTCAGCCCATGGCACAGGCAGAACCTGCAGAAGTACAAGAGTGCGTTGGCTGGCAATGCAGAGTTGGAGGGCGCCGCGGAGATTATCGTGGACCTATCCCAAGATGCAGATGAGCGGCCCAGGATGAGCTGCATGATGCCGTGCCTCCTTCGCACGTCCTTGCTGTATGCTCTGAAAGCAAGAAGGCCCTTGACCCCGAGCGAGTGGTTCTGTGTGCAATGTTTACCCATGAGTTTGCCAGCAGACAATGATTTTGCCAGCTTCGTGCCGTGGCTGCCACACATGTTGCGGAGCTTGTCACGGAACCAGGCTCAGCAGCTCGCAGGCAACTCTATGGTGTTGCCAGCAATGGGAAGTGTGCTACTGGCAGCTGTGCTGTCTGCTGCTTGTTGTTAGGTGCTAGAATGGTGACCCTGCAGCAGTTCCTGTGCTAGCCAATTTTGAAGAGGCGTATAGCTGTAGAATCAGAAAAAACACGAGACCGTGTGAGTTGCTGGATGCTGTGCAGCCCGATGATCAGTGAAGTTTGTCGGCAGGGTGTGTGGGGTGTGCGAGAGCTGAGCAGTAGTAGACTGGTATTGCTGTGAGCCGTGAGCCTGTTTGTGATTGTAGCAGGGCAGCGGCCAAGCTTTTAAGTCAAGTGTTTGTTGTTGGGAACAAACACGAGCATGAAGCGCGGGCTCTCGGAGTTTGAGCTCGACGTCGATGCGGAGGGCGACGGTGGTGAGGAGGCTAACCAGCTCGACGAAGATGGTGTGTTGGTGCCTGCTCCCCCAAAGCCTGCCAAGGGAGATCGTCAGGCTCGACACAAGTCTCGAAAGACCGGCAAGGGCATGCGTCTTTGCCGAGCGTGTGGTTGCACGAAGCCTGAGGGTGAGTTCGCGGTGAATCAGAACATGGACATGTCCTGCAAGAAGGCGCTGGACAACATCAGCAGAATGGCTAAGCAGCAGGGACCACATGCCATGCAGTTCGTCGCTGAGGCGAAAGCAGACCCGACGAAATTGAGGAAGATGCTTGACTCCTATGGAAAAGCCCACAAGATGTGGACTTCGGGCAAGACCCCGAAGATCCAATGGAGCGTCGTGACTTACATGGAAACGGTTCTCACCGAGACAGGCGTGCAGTACAGCGGTAACTCCAAGATGATGTGGGAGAAGCAAGCGGTGCTCTTCTGGATGTCCATCGAAGGAGGATGCATGTCGGAAGAGGATGCAGAGGCCAAGTGGAAGAGCTTGGCCGGCAGGCTTGATGATGAGGATGTCGTCCATGACATGAAGGGGCCGGCGAAGAAACCGTTGAGACTAGCAGTGAAGTTTGAAGATATCGTAAGTGACTTCAACAAGGTCGCAAAGCAGCGCCGAGTAGATTTTCAAGAGAAGCAGCAGAAGAAACCCGACGAGGCCACCATCGAGAAATACATGAGAAGGGCTACAAGTAGCCACGAGGAGATTGGTGGTAGTGCTGCTGCCAGCATTGCTCAGGTGCTTCCCTCCGGTGATCGCTTGAGTCAGACCCTGGTTCGAGGAGGACCTGGGTCGGCTTTTGACAATATGAGCATGCAAATCGGAGACATCCGGAATCTACTTCCAGACGTTTCTGATCAAGATGATGCGAAGGCCAAGGCCAAGGATGATGCAGCTGAGTCAGAGGTTGACAAGGAGAGCGAGAACGAGGCGGAGCAGCAGAAAGAGCGTTGGTTCGACAAGGACAGGTCTATCAACAAGGCCCAGAGGGCCTTGCAATCGCAGGAAGACAAGCTCCTGCAGATGCACCAGCAGCGCACCAAGGAGCTCCAGAGTTGGTTGGGGTACATCGGCGGCCTGACGCCCGAAGACAAAGCCCAGTACCAGGGTGAAGAGAAGATTGGTAAGGTTCGCCTCCAGTTCATGGAGGGCATCAGCAAGGATGAAACCGGCCTCCAGGACCTGATCCAGCAGTTCAAGAACAATGCTTCTCCCATGAAGCCCAAAGCTTCTGGAGCAGCTGATGCGGCGAGCTCTGCTGCTGGAGTCGCGAGGCTCGGCAATTCGCCCCCGTGCAAACAGTTCGCATCACTGGTGACTTTGGCAAACCTAACCATCTTGAAGGACGAGGTGGTCAACTGCGAATCTGCCCAAGACATCGCGGAGCACAAGAAGAAGTACTGCGAGCAGAAGGCCCCCATCATGGACCTCCTTGCTTCGGTGCAGGCCGGCTCCAAATCTTTTGCAAATTTTGCGTAGTGCGGGGTTTTGTCAGACTTTAGGGCTGTCTTTTTGGTTTGTCGACGCTTGTGTTCATCTGCAATACAATGTGCATCAGTGCAAGAAGACCTCAGGGCTGAATTTGAGGGTGCGGTTCTAACGCTTGTTGGCACATACAAGCACGAAGCTGCGCCTGTGGGCAGGCTGTTATCAATGACATGAAGAAGGTGAAGAAAATGTTGGACACCCAGGCCCAGAAGATCGCGGCTGCGAAGGCCAAGCCTGCGGCCAAGGGGACCGCGCCTGTGTATTCCATATTTCAGCTTTCGGAGCTTTGCGAAGCTCTGCCCCCAAAAGGCGGAGACGGAGACGGTGCATCCAAGTTCCAGGCGAACGAGCCTGGCATCATGAACGTCGGAGAGGGTGCAGCAGGGACTTTGTTTGGTGTTGAGGTCAAGCTTGCCCTTTCCCAGCTTTCGAAGCTCATGAAGGAGGCCTCGGCAGCCAAAGCAGGTTCCCACACCCGTGCAGAAGTGAACTTGGATGAGGCTGCCATGAAGGCCATCGCGGATCCCCTGAAGAAGCTCCTTCCCGACAACATGCGGGTCCACACCGGCGGCACGGACGGCATCCAGACGGGGTCGGACGAGCTTACACAGCTGCTGCACAAGCATATGTTGTGCACGGGCTTCGGCATCGTCAAAATGCATGCTACGTTTGGGCATGAAAGGAGCTTCTTTCCATGCGTGCGTGTCTCATTTTCCGGAACCCGGGAGATCGTGCTCATGCCCTACCTGCCCCTCGCGAAGCATGTCCAGAACAATTCCGCCGCAGGTGACAGCTCGGCCGTGAACGATTTGTTTGATCCCAAGGTCAAAACGGCTTGTATTCAGTTCCTCAAGTTCTGCAACAAAGAGAAGTTTCAGAGCTACTTGTCGAGCGAGGGGGCCCGAGCCTTCCATGGGACAATCGGTCCATCGGACATGCTTTTCGTCCCTCCGGGCTATATTTTTGCGGAACTCACCAAAGAGTTCGTGTTGGGCATGAAGTGCCCAATCTTTGTGATTAACGGTGGTGATGATTCCACACAAAAGATTTTGGATCAGCTGAAAAGCTGCTCTGTGAAAGACTTGAACAAGTCGGCCGATGCATACGCACAGGCTGTGAAGTCCCAGGCTCGCTGAGCGATGTGGGCAGCCAGGGATCGCACTATTTTTAAGATCGGCAGAGGCTCGCAGAGGCGTGAGGAAATGGCTGTTATTCTCGATTCTAGACTCTTCGTTGCTGGGTGCACGGCAACTTCTTTGTTCTTGCAAACGTAGCAGTGAGTCATGCCGCCATGCCCCAAGACCATCAAGCACTGAAGCACAGTCATGTTCATCATCGCCATTATTTGTTGCGGTTTTCTTCATCACTGGCCTGCTGGGCTCTGTAGGCCCAATTCTCTTGAAAGATAGATCTTCAAGCCGTTAGAGCATCATGATCTTGGCGCCACAAACCGTAGCAGCTGTCTGGTGTCTACCGGGTTTTCAGAAAACACAAAGCCGAGTCAACGAAGCTGCACTCTCAGATGCGCGTGTCCTTTGATGCCGCCTGATAGAAGCATTTGAGAGTGTGCCTTGAGATGTAGTGGATTTGGTGATAATACCTATGGCGAAGAAGGCGATGATAAGGAGGATGCCTATGACGAAGAAGGTGATGATAAGGATGATGCCCATGTTCATGATCTTCATGATCGTGATCGTGATGATGGTAGTGATGGTGGTGTTGGCGACGATTATTATGCATATTCAACTCCAGGAAACCCTTGACCTTATGCTGCTCAACTGTTTCCCCAAACCTGACACCCTAAACCTGAACTTTGAAGCCCTAATCCCTTAAAGCGTTCGGCTCAAACATGGCTCAAACAATCGGCTCAAGTTTGACACGTTCAAACAGTCTTCGACAACGCTTGGGCACGACTTTTCGTTTGACGGAGCACATCGCAAGCCCTTGAGTGACTGCTTGGTGCTTGCTAGAGCAGATCAGCTGGAAGCATATGCGATATCTATCCGTTTGCCTGGTCCTCCTGCCTTTGGGTCTATTTGTGATGCTCTGTGTTGCTCGCCCTTCTGTATTGTGTTCGCGCCCGGCCATTGGCACAAATTCTCCTGGACTGTACAGCTTTCTGTTCCATATCTTTGTACAGCGCATGCTTGGTGCTCATGCTCCTTCTGAAATCCCTGTGTCATTAGCAAGTCATGCATTTCTGGCGTCGCAACCTGTGGATTTGGCTTAGGAACCCCAACGGTACCTGCTTGAGTCATTAGGTTCACCTCATTTTTGGTCCGGGGCATCCCGATGGATTTGATGGCCTTTGCGAAAGTGGATTTGGAAACCCTTGTATTTCCAGTCCTTAAACCCTAACCC